CCCCCCCGGCGCCCTGCCCCCGGCCGCCGGGGGGAGAGCGGAGCCCCCGCCGGGGCTCGCTGCCCTCCCCCCGGGGCTCCGGCCGCCCTCCCCCCCGTGGGGGGACGACGGCCGGAGGCTTTTTCGCCTGGGGCTGCGAAAAAGCCAGAGCCGGCCCTGTCTAGAGCCTTCATGTCATGTGAGTTGTTCAAAAGAGCCAGGAAGCAGCTGATGTCTTCCCCAGCCTGGGCAAGTCCCTAGCAGGATTTGAACAAGCGTGGGCTGCTTCTGCACAACCACTCTGCAGCCCACCGCAATGGGGCCATGCAACAAATAAGCAGTGGGGGGTGTGGCTAGAAAGCACTGCCTGCTGGTAACATCTGGCTGGTGGACAAGACTTAGAGGAGCTGCAGCCAGGTGGTATGGATTCGAATAGCCCATAGGCTGCTGTAATCTAAAGCTGGGTGAATAATAGGTTTGTCAGATCTCAGCAATTCCAAAGAATTAGTGGGAAGGGTGCATTTCAGGTTGAACCACAAAGATGTTTTATTTAGTTACTTTCAGTGAAAAAAAAGGTCAGTAAAAAATTAGTTCCAGGTTGACCAAGATATTTTGTTTGATCTGAAAGGAAATGTCTTGTTCTGATTTCAAGCATTTTCTTAAAAAAATAAAATAAAGGAACTTTCAAAACAAAAAGTCACTTTGAATCAAAAATTCAATGTTTCATTTTGAAAATGTGAAAACAAAACATTTCAATTCCTTCAGATTTTTTACACCCAAACAATTTGGCAAATTCAGCATGACTTCTCAAAACATTTTAATGTCACTGAATTTCCTTTTTTTCCCTAAAAAATAAAATTGGTTGAAAAATTCCACCCCTCGACTCTACTCTACAGTAAGACTGGGGTCTGTGTAGAACTGGCCAGAGAGCATTATTGATTCCTCCCCAACTTCTCTGCCCAGGCGCTGCTCCAGCATTCTGAGTCAGTACCCTGACTTCTAGTCACTTAAACATTTTCTCACATTGCCTCTTTACATCAAATCATTCACTGTATGTCTAATCTAAAGCTGCAGGAACTTTGAGGGTAGAAAAATAAAATTATGTTATAATGGAAAGTAACACCTTCCAAAAAAAGTTTCCACTGGGGGAAATATAACTTACTAATTTCTTCATGGAGTTCACCTAAAAAGAGAGAGAAAGAAATCCACATAAATAATTAGAAGCTTGTAATATTTTATCCGAGTGCATCCAGATTTAGGCCTGATCCTGCAAACACTTATTCAGAATCATGTGTAGTGTAGTTGTCCCACTGAATTGCGTAAAATTACTTATTGGCTTAAGTCTTTGCAATATCTGGGTTCAATTGTTATTACATGGGATTTTTCTTTCCTGACTAAAACTTCATGTAAGATGTTGCATTAGAAGAAAAATAGAACTTACTGATATTGTCAAGGTGTTTCCCTAAAATAAAACAAAAACAAATACAAATTATATCATTAATTTATATTTTCATTTAAATTATTTAAGAACTTTCAGTGAATAAAAATTTCAAGGATTTTTTTTGCATTTTTACATGAATTCCCAGTATCAAGATCATCAGTACTAACATTTTCTTTCATGTTGCATTACCCTTATGGATTCACTACACATACAGATCAATCCTTTCAAAGGTTTACAGCTCTGAATTATTTGTAGAATTCAGGCCAATCCTGCTTCACAGACCCTAATCTCCTGTTGGCTTCACTGGCAATCGAGAGTGCAAAGACTGCAGGATCAAATCCTAAAATGCTAATAGTTTGTTGATATGACTTGAGCCTTCAATATTTATTTGCTTCTCTAGCTAGGGAGGTTGTGAAATCTCTATCACTGGAGGTTTTTAAGAACAGGTCAGACAAGCACCTTCAGGGATGGTCTAGGTAAATGCTTCACCCACATGTACCAAGGCAGGATGGGGGGAAGTGGCAGGACTAGAAGACCTCTTCAGGTCCCTTCCAGTTCTGCATTTCTACAATTCTCTGGGTCTTTATTAGTTCTGTTGCTTTTACTATAAAGATTAAGGGTAGTATTTTCCTAGCTCTGTTCCCACTGAAGTTAGTGGGAGTTTCACCATTGACTTCAGTAAGAGCAAATTTAGGCCAGTCCTGCGTGCTTTTGATAATGCCACTCTAATAGGTTTAGACTGTCCCTTGTATGCCACAACTCTATTACGTTATGGCCCCAATTCAGGAAAGCACTTAAGCATGTGTTTCAAGATTAAAGTTAAACACTTGCTTAGGTGCTATGCTTAATTGGATGCTACAGCGAACAATAAAACAGCATCAGAGTTTCTGTTGGAAACCTTTATTTCTGATCCTTTTCATGTTTCTCCCATTGCCTTTTGGTGACCTTGGTGCATAGTGAACCTTGGGAGGGAGGGGGACTGCACTGGAGAATAGAGTTACAATTCTTAATATGAGAGGACATTTACAAAAGGGAATACGAGGAAAAAGCTAACTTACCAATTTCTGCCTGCAATCTCCCTAAGGAAAGAAGAAAAAGCAAAACAGATAAAAATAAATATAATGCCCTGCTCCTGTCCAGGTGCCTGCAGATATGAAAGACAGTTTTCATTATAAGCACAAAATTATTCATTCTTATTAAACCTCTACCCCGATCTAACACGACCCAATATAACAAGAATTCGGATATAACGCAGTAAAGCAGTGCTCCGGAGGCGTGGGGGGGGGGCAGGGCTGCGCACTCCGGTGGATCAAAGCAAGTTCGATATAACGCGGTTTCATCTATAATGCGGTAAGATTTTTTGGCTCCCGAGGACAGCATTATATCGAGGTAGAGATGTATTGTATATGTTTCCCAGTATGCACCCTAGATTACATGTCAAAAATGTGTTAGATGTGCCCAATTTGCAAACCCTTATGCACGGGAAGAGCATTATTCATATGTGTAATCCTGTGTGGGGTTGAGTTCTTAAAATTATTTTAAAAGCATTACTATTTTGATGGGTAAAATATGTTTTTGTCTACTCACTTGTTACTGATTTTTTCCCATTTTTTTGTGCATCCCAAACTCCTATTATCTACTCTGGGAGTTCTTCACGTGGAAGGAATGAAAAACTAGGCCTTAAAATCACTAATACTTTACTAACAATTTGAGGCTATGGCTTGTTTTTCTACTTTTCTGGTTAATAGAATTAGAGTTGTCACCAGCTGTGCAGCTCAGTGAATAGTTGATTTTTCTGTTCAGAGGCCAAACTGAACATTTCCCCCCCCCAACTTTTTTTTTTTCAGTTTTTTTTTTTCCTTCACAAAATGAAAAAAAAAAAAAAAAGTTTGATTGAAAAAAATGTTTTGAATACCAATTTGAATTGCTATTTTGAAACAAAATATGGATTCAAATTGACACTTTTGAAATGAAATATTGATTTGAATTCACATTTTTGAAACAAACCATTTTACCATTTCTGAATTCTTCAGTGTTTTCAGTTGAAATTATTCAGTGAATTCAACACAAATTTGCAAATAGTTTCAGTGCCTTGAAAACGTATTTCAGTGAATTTACAATCCCCCCCCAAAACAAAACAAAACAAAAAAAAAACAAAAACAAAACAAAAAAACCAGCCAAGCTGTACACCTTATGGCGAAGATTACAACTTGGGCAACACATTCTAGCATTTTTAAAACAATAATTAATAATGATGTGGCTGAGGCAGGGGACTGGATTTTCTGATACTTTGTGGGCCCTTTTGATGTCTAGACTAAAAAGCAATTGGATGTCCCAAGCTGAAGGCTTCTCTGGTGTGACAGAGTCCCTAGCAGGCCCAGTGCTGGTGTACTCAACTTCTGAACCAGCCCCTCAGCAGTCTCTGGGGGAGAAGTTGTACCGGGGCTGGAAAACGACCAGAATGACACAGATTATACCTATTCTGGGTCTGCAGGGCTGGTCCCAGAGTCAGGGAGCCATAACTGGTTCTTTTATGTCCTCCTCTGGCCACAGCTGAAAATAGGAGCCAGCACGTCTATTAGTGATTTATTATTTGCATTGGGTAGTTCAGAGGAGCTCCAGTCCTGGGTCAAGACCCCATTGTGCTAGGTGCTGTACAAACACAGAATAAAGACAGACGCTGTTCCAAAGAGTTGATCTGAGCTTGGATATTCCGAGCAGTTTAAGTGTGTAAAGGACACTTGTTTCATTGACATTCAGTGGAAAGTGGGTGCCTAATTGCCTTAGGCGCTTTTGAAAATCCCAGACTTTAAATTTATTGACAAAGCCTGGGTGTCACGTCATTTCCCTACAGGTAAATGAATCCTACAGTACTTACTAGGGCATTGTCTACACTACGCAGCTTTTAGCGACATGACTGTCGACAAAGCCCTGTTGCTAAAAGTCGGGCAGCGTCGCCGCTGTTTGTTGGCTCTTTTGCTGACAAAATACTTCCACTGCCAATGAGCAGCGTTCACTCTGTTGGCAGCAGAGTGCTCCTGCCAACAACGTGCTGTTCACACTGGCACTTGTCATGGCAAAACGTTTGTCTTTCAGGGGGGAAGGGGGTTAACACCTCTGAATGACAAAAGTTTTGTTGTTCAATTGCCAGTGTAGACACAGCCTAGGATGCAACTCCATACAAACTATTGCATTAGAGGAGGTTATAACTTACTAATTTCTTCTTGGAGTTCACCTTGAAAAAAAAGGGAAAGAAATAGATAAGTAAATGAAAGACTGTCAAGAGCGTTGTTTCATTGCATATGGACCTCAAGGTCAGCTTTCATTACAAGCACTCGAATTAATCTACTTTGACCCCAATCCCGAATGGGCAGTTTACTGTAACCCTGCTGAGCGCCATTGACTTCAACGGGACAACACCTTGAGAAGAAAGCTCAGTGTGTGCATAAGTGTCTGTAGCCTGGGCACCAGAATTACTGTTGATTTCCCGGGGACAATGCACAGCAGTGAAGATAGGGTCTGCAGGATCAGGGCTTCTGGTCATATTTTCTTTGTAGAACAGTAAGAGCAGATCTACACCACAGACGCCGGTTGGCATAGCTATGTCAGCCAGGAGTGTGGGGAGACAGAGGCGCCAACTTCCCGAGTTCCCTGGGTTGCTCGACCCCTGCTCTGCCCCAGGCTCCACCCCCCCAAATCCCCACTCCTGCCCTGCCTCGTCCCACTCCCACATTTGGGGAGGCTAAGCCAGAGCGCTGGAAGCTCCCTAGAAGTGGGAGGGGCCACCGGCGCCTGGACTGTGGACACCACCCCACCCCACCTGAGGCCAGCCTTGCTCAGCCTCCTCCCCCGAGACCCCGAGTATAGACTCCACCCCCACTCCACCCCAGGTCCTGCTCCTGCTCGGCCCCCTCCCCCAAGAGGTCCCACCACCCACACCTCTCCACTCGAGGGGCCCTGCCACCCGTGCCGCTCTGCCCCCTCACCCAAGGGCCCCCGTCCTGTCACCAGTGCCTCTCTGCCTCTCCGGGGGTGAAGAGTCGCAAGAAGGTGGCAGGGGGGAATCAGGGGAAATGGGTGCAGAAGTATGGGGGTGCAGGGGAAGGGACAGAGAAGTGTGAGTGGTGGGTGGAGGGGCCATGGGGTAAGAGGCAAGGCAGGAAGAGGAGCAGTGTGGGTAGTGGTGTCATGGGGGAATGCAGAATGCAGGAGGGGGATGTCAGGGTGGAGTGTGGGCAGGGACATGGGCCGAGCACCCTTTCAGGGGCAATGCTCCAAAGGCAGCAAGCCAGCGGGGCAGCTCCAAAGGGGGGTGCCCTGCATCCTGTTTGGGAAGGCTTAGCCTCCCTTGGCCTATTATACCCACTGCCCTTGTGGGGAGGTGTGATCCCTGACTGACACGGCTGTGCTGTGGAGATCCAGTTATAATGGCAAAACAGTGCTATTACCAGTATTGCTTGTGGGGGTGGCTTTACTATATCAGTACAAAGCGCAGCTTTGCTGGCACAAGCGCCATCTGCACTAGGAATGCTTTCCCACTACAATATACTGGTATTCCTGTACCAGTAAAGTGCTCCTGCTGTAGACACAGCCTAAGAATGCAGGTGAAAAGTGCACGATGGTTTCCTTGGCCTGTTCTCATGAACACAAGTGTCTGAAGGACGGGAGCATTACTTTCAAAGGGTTACAGTTTGGAATGGTGCAATATGTTTAGGCCTGATCACTAATTATTACTAGAGAGGCAGTGTGGCCTAGCAGACACAGCACCGAAACTCAGGTGACATGAGTTCTAATCGTGGTTCTGCCACTGGCCGGCTGGGAGACCTGGGCATGTTAGTTGTCCCTTCTGTGCCTCAGTTTCATGATCATGAACTCTAAAGTGCTTTGCGATCTACTGACGAAATCTCTTCACATAAGAGCTAGGTATTTCTTACTGCTCACTAGTCCTTTGTAAACCTTCATTCTTTGGAAACCTCCGACTCCCTTCAGTTTCATTGGGAGTAGGAGCTATACAGGAATAAGTGAAAGGTCAGTCCTTGAAAGTATTTTAAAATTCCGATTGCATTATGACTTCCCATAACATAGCGTGGGGATTACTGTTAATAAGTTATTGACATTACCTGTGGTTTTCCAGTTGACCTTGTCCCTTAAATTAAAAACTTAGCAGCGCACAACTTCACATATGAGGTGATATTGGGGGAGGGGAATGAAACTTACTGATATTTTCAAGAAGTTTCCCTAAAATAAAACAAATGGATAAATACATTATTTAAGATTTTTTTCACTGAAAAGAGATATTAAGGAGTTTTTCATTTTATTTTGATTTACAGTTTCAAGAAAACCATTAATCAAATTAGAACTTCCACCACTGCAACAAACTACCAAGGGAAGTGATGGATTCTCCATCTCTTGATGTCTTCAGACCACGACTGGATGTCTTTCTGAAAGATCTGCCGAACACAGAGCATTGGACTCAATACCGGGGTAACTGGGTGAAATATTCTGGCTTGTGTTATGCAGGAGGTCAGACTAGATGATCTGATGGTCCCTTCCAGCCTTAAATCTATGAATGAATTACATTTGGATTCATGATACAAGGTGGGTGAGTTAATATCTTTTATTGGATTAACCTCTGTTGGGAAGAGAGACAAGATTTTGAGCCACCCAGACCTCTTCTTCAGGTCTAGGAAAGGTACTCTGAGCTCATAGCTAAAGGCAAGGTGGAACAGATTAGTTAGCATATATTGTAAGGGACCATTCAAGGTAGTGTCCCAGTAACACCTGCAGTCACAGGACAAAAAGAAAGAGTTAGTGAGTTATGCATTGTTGTAATAAGCCAAAATCCAGTGTCTCTGTGCAATCCATGATTTTAGTAGCTAGCAGAGTTATGAAAGTCTTTTGAAAGTATTGTGCAGGTTTAGATATAGAGTGATTGTTTTGTGAAAAATGTTCACCCCAGGTGATAGGGTGTTTTTGTCTTTTATCAGTTTTCTCAGAGTTCATCTGAGGGCTTGTCTACACTACACAACTTTTAGCGTGTCACTAAAAATCTGGCACTGCAAATGCTGTTTGTCGGCACTTTTGCCGACAAAATACTTCCATCCCCTATGAGTGTCTTTTTTGGGGGGGAGGGGGCTTTTTAAAGCACCTGTGAACGACAAACATTTTGTCGTTCAGTTGGCAGTGTAGACAAAGCCTGAGAATCTAGTGATTGTCTGGCACAGCTGCAGTAGAGTTCACAGCAGCGCAGCTGCACCGACCCCCGCCGTAAGCTCTCTAATGTAGCTGTTGTAAAATGATGGGAGAGACCGCTCCCTTCAGCTTAACTCCACCAGTCCCCGCGAGCAGCAGAAGCTATGTTGGCAGGAGAAGCTCTCCCGCTAACATAGCACTGACTGTCCACACCAGCGCTTATGTCAGTGTAATGTATGTTGCCAACATAAGTTGTAGTGTAGACATAGACATAGCTGATGGGATGGGGCATTTAGTGCACATGTTGTTGTGATAGGCCTGTGTAGGATTCATGGACCTTGAAAGTGTTGTGGGGGATTGATCATTGTAGTAATGGAGATACGGCTGCAGGTTTTGCATCTGCTCTGGCAGGGTCTGGTGCTGCTTTGACTTGGCGTGTCCTGGTCTGTGTGGAGCTTTGTTCTGATGATGAGCTTGGAGAGACTGGGGAGGTTGTCTGAAGGACAGAAGAGGGGTTTAGGACAGATTTCTTTCAGGCTGAGGTCCCTCTTCAGTATGGGTTGTAGTTGTTTGATACCCCATCTGGGTTCCAGTGTGGGGTGGTAGGTGGCAACTAGGGTGCTTGTGGATTCACTACGATTAGCTATCAAACAAATGAATACTTTCAGCCATTGACAGTTCTGAATGACCTGTAGGATTCACACCAAATCTGCTTTTTCACATACCCTAACCTCCGGCTGGCTTCACTGCAGTGTACAGTGTGCAAGGACTGCAGGATCAGCTCCTACAATGCTAATCCCTCTAGTTGGCTAACATGACTTGAGCCTTTAATATTGATTTGGTTCTGTACCTGAATCGTTAGCTGTTCTTCTGTCTTTACTATACAGATTATGAGTAGAGTTACTCTAGCTCTGCTCCCGCTGAAGTTAGTCAATGGTGAAACTCCCATTCAATAAGAGCAAAGCAATGGGTGCTTTTGAAAATAAAAGTAGGACAGGTTTAGATTTTTTCTTCTTGCATGTCACAGGTCTATATTATATCAATGGTGTCAATTCAGAAAAGCATTTAAGCACATGCTTGGGTCTAAGCACATCAAAGTCAATTGGAATACACATGCACTTAACTTCAAAGGATATCAGTGCTTTTTTGAATCAGATTATATCAGCATTTAATATTCATTTGATTCTGTAACTGAATCTTTATCCATTCTGCTCTCGTTCCATACAGATTAATAAGCTTAGCTTTGCGCTTCTGTTTACTTATTGTTGGATAAAGACACCAATACCGAAGCTCTAATTGTAACTAGTATAAAAACCTGACACCACAGAAGCAATGAAAAAGAACATTCAACAGGAAAGGAAGCCAACATGGGCAGCCAGCAGCTACAAAAAGCTCGTTCCACCCCCATCATCCTGGGGACACACCCTCTCTGTAACAGGCCAGCTGCCCCTTTAAGGGCCAGAGGGGCAGGGACCAGACAGCCCTACTCCTTGGAGAAGCCCAATAGGCAGGTCCTGGGAATCATCAGACCCACTGAGCAGCATCAAATGACTGGGTCTGATGACCAGCTAGGGAATATTGATGAGGGCCCCAGCTCCATTAGGGAGCCTGGGACCAGGAGAATACTGCCCTGTAACTACACTCTAGACATCAGGCAGGGCAGCAGAGGATTCCAACAGGGTGGAGGCACCCACATGACAGATTTACATCGAGACCAGCCAGCCATGGTTGATGGGTTATTAAGGAGAATCAACTCTTCCAGTGGGCATCTCCAGAGGATGCTGCAGAGAGCATATGCACAATGGAGGCCCAGTGACTCAGCGGGGCACCTAAGACATGTGATCCCTGACTCCATGTTTGTGCCAGTAACTTTCCATGCATACAGGTTGAGGGTATAAAAGTGGAGACGGTGACATAATTTCTTTGCCTCTTTCCTGTTCCACATTTCTGGACAACAATTTCTAACAAAGAAGAGCTTTGAACAATGGACTGAGGACCCCAGTATTTGGGATGAACCAGAGACTTATTGTAAGCTAGCAGATTTAACATCACTGCTATTATCCTGACCTCCAGACTCTGAAACCAACTGCAATGTATCTGATTCATTTTAATCTCAACTCTCTTCCTTTTCAAAACTATTAATAAACCTTTATTTTTAGTTGCTAAGGGACTGGCTATTAGTGTGATTTTGGGGTAAGATCTGGAAGAACCTAATATATGTGATTTCTGGTTTTAATCATGCATCACAGAAGTCTGGTTTGTCTGGGTGGTGCATGAGGGGCTAGAGGGCCTGAAGGGGACTGTGTGTGGTTCATAATAACTAGTATAGTAATTTGGAAGCACCCATTTGTTACTGGCTTGGTATATTCTTTTCACCATCAATTGGGGGCACATGCCCTGTTTTCTGGAAGTCTGACCTGAGACTGGAGCTCTTGCTATGTCCCATATCAGGCAGTGTGACACAGACTATTGCATAAAGGGGGCAAGTTCCAGAGCTCTCACAGAGAAGGCTCTGCCGGTTGCCTTCTCCCCAATCCTATAGGTGTTTAAATTCCCTAGGCACCCAAGCTTCTGCCTTTGGGCATGCACACAACTGCCTAAGTCCTGGTGGCACAGAGATGCTCAGTGCCTTAGTTCAGACCTAAGGCTTGGGGAGATATTCTGGCTAGGCATTCCCCTGTCTAGCCTGTGGGGCCTGATCCAGTAGGCATGCCCAGATCACACATTATGCACAAAAAAGTTATGAGCCACCAGATCAGGAAGGGTGAGTGAAAGTGAGAAAGTGAGTGTGTGTGCATCTGTCCCAGTTGCTAGGGCACTCACCTAGGGTGTGGGAGACCCAAGTTCAAGTCCCTGCTCCTAATCAGGCAGAACAGGGATTTGAAAACAGCTCTCCCACCGCCCAGGTGACGGCTTTAACCACTGAGCTCCAAGTGGCTGAAGCAGGTTGAAAGGGAAGAGGGCTGCTGAGCAGAAGAGTTGGAGGGAATTTATACCTCCTGCAGCCCCAGAGAAGCCCTCTTTCACCTGGCCTGGGCTGGCAGCACCCACCCAATTGGAAAAAGGACAGGGTTTCTTCGTGACGTGGTGTGAGCATTATGGATATAGTGAGGTGGGGGGCTCTCTCTCTCTGTCTAGAGTTAGGAATTGCAACACTTAAATCTCTTTTAGGACCTAGCCCGTGGTGAGTAGATTAAACCAAATCAAAAGGATACAAATGTGCACAGAAGATTATACTAAGAAGAATGTAACTTACGTTTTTCAGCCTGGATCTTCCCTAAGGAAAGAAGATAGATAAAGCAGAGTGAAAAAAGAAAGATCACAACACTGAGCTTCTGTTTGAGTGCATACCGAGTGAAAGGACAGTTTTTGTTCTAAGCATTTTAATCATTTACATGGCTCTTGTGCTTGGCAGAATTCCATTGTTTTAAATCTTGATGGATAATGTTTATTTTAAGCTTTGTATATTTATCTATCTGAATTCCGACAGCCGAGGGAAATTGGGGTGGGAGCGGTGTCAGACAATAATCTGAGGACACTAGACATGAGATTGAGAAAGGTAAATCTTTATAACCATTCAAACCCAAATTCTCAACCTTGCGTGTCCAAAGAGACAAAGTCGAGATCCTTAAATCAAACCCTAAGTTCTCAAGCAGCATTTTTATTACTTTGCCTACCTGTAAACTTCTATTATCTGTGGAAATCTTATCAACGTTTACCACCACTACCAATGCAAACCTTATCCTTCCAGCTCAATTAGCTCTTTATTAGTAGCAACTTATGATACTTAGACTTTCCCAGTAATTATTTGTCAATGTGCTTTAGATGTATGGCCAATCCTGAAAATATATATGGGAGTGAAGTTACTCATCTGCTTGGGGGCTGACCTGTACACAATTCTAGAACTGGATGGGAAACAGTTTTCTTGCCCCTCAAAACGTCTCAAGAACTACGGACTTGTTCAGCAGATTGTGTTTCGTGAGACCACTCCCAAATATATTTGAGCAGACTGTATGTCAGTTATTATTCAAAAGCAACTGGCTAACGCCCCTCCCCCCTTACTGTATTCTTATCATTAAAACTATGAATAACTTAAAAAAAAAAGTATTTTCAAGAGCTCAACTTTTCTTCCCAGCTCAAATCAAGACAAAAAGTCAAAAAAATCCTCTGAACTTCCAACTGAAAAACAAAACTTTATTTCAGTTCATGTCAATCAATGTTCTGTTTCAATAATTTCACCATGACCTGCTAACTCCTGTTAAAAATACAACAGGCTTTGTCTTCATCAGGGATTTTACCTCTGGTTAGCTAACACATGTAAGTACCAATGTTAGCTTCTTGTTTTCCTAGTGAAAATGCACGCTTAGGCATCTTAGAAAATCTCACTCTGTCAACACTGATCCAGCATGTGTTTCTGCACATGCGTAAGTGCACACATAAGAGTTTGCAGGACAGGGGCATAAGGTATTTAAATGTGTCCTGACTGCAGAGATGCTAAGCACATAACTCAATGGGCGTCTGTCTGGGCGATGGGTGAACATTGAGGCATTTCTCTCTCTATGGATTTAGGTGTCTAACTTCAGGCTACTATGGGTACTTCTACATTACACACTCTTCACAGAAGCACGCAGAGTACAAGCACTGCGTGCCCCCCTCGCACAGGGACAAATAGCTGTGTAGATGGTGAGGCACTGCTTAAGTGCATAGAGTACAAACATGCCTGAACCCCAGGGCTATGAACTCTACACAGCTCTACACACCCAAACAATTCTTCCCCCACCTACACTGCTGTTTTTAGCACTGTAGTGTCCTGCTGTCACCCTGCTTCTGGAGCCTTTCCTCACTGCCTCCCCCCTGCCCGAGCCTTTCACTGACTCATACCACATTGCAGTGTGGGCACTGCCTGCTTTTCACTATGGCCTTGTCTACACTACCATGGTAAATTGACCTAAGTTACACTACTCCAGCTATGTGAACAACATAGGAGTACATGTAGCTTAGGTTGACTTACTGCGGTGTCTGCACCGCCCTGCGTCGACGGGAGACGCTCTCCCATCGACTTACATTAATCTTCTCGTTCTGGTGGAGTACTGGAGTCGACCGGAGAACAAATCTGCGGTTGATTTAGTGGGTCTTCACCCGCTAAATCGAGCCCCACTGCATTGACTGCAGCAGCGTCGATCCCTGGTAAGTGTAGATATGCCCTATTATATGTAGCTACATACACCCTACATTTCACTTCAAGTGGTGTGAAGTCTAGACAGCCTATATGTGATTCATCAATCTTTATTTGCTCTGTCCCGTCTCTACCCTGTGGCATTAGGATCGTGGTGATAAGGATTTGGTAGGGCTATCGGGCTACATTTTCAGAAAGTGCAAATCAAGCCAGTCCAGGGGATTTCAAGTTTGGCACCCAAAAACTAAGGTATCCAAAGTTATTCCTTGTAGTCACATTTGAAAATGTAGGGCAACATTTCCGTTCACTTCAGGCCATGACATTATGTCTGCCGGGACTCGCAAACATTTCATTATTTGTAAAAAATTCTATGAAATAATTAAATTAAAACACTATTAGACACACACAGGTATGATGTAGTGAAGAAGAGGGAATAACTTACCAATTTTTGCATGAAGGTTTCCTAAAACAAACCAAACCAGTGTAAGTGAGTCTAGATTACTTAGGCTCTTTGGTTTCAGTAAATACATATCTAAAGAAAAGTCTCCATAGCCTCATGATATAGTTTCATTCTATTTTTATGCTATTAAACATTCTTAATGATTCCACTGTGTCTGTAAAATGGCATAAAGAAGCTACAATAATAGAATAATAACATTTTACACACATTTTGCATTCACTTTCAGCATCAAGGCAAATCCAATCCGGTGTAAGTCATGTAGTAACCTTGAACATCAAGAATGCTTCATAAATCATTCTAGAGAAAGATGTGCGAGCCTCAAAGAATGAAAACAAATTCATATCTGGATAACATGATGTGCATTTAGAGCCAGATATTTAAAGATATTTAGATACCAAACTCCCATTGATTTTCATGGGATTCAGGCACCTAAATACTTCCAAATATCTGACCCTTAGTGTTTTTTTTTTCATAATAACTGCATCTTCTCAGCAGTTCTTCATCTGTTTAACACCTCTTGAACTCCAAAAGGGTTCAGTTTCCTCTTCCTATCTTTGCATTACACCAGTTTACTGATGCAGAAATCAGGGCTGAAAAGTGTATCTATACACAAACTCTAGTTATAACTTTCTCAAGTTGTCTTTTGTCATGAACTATCTCATGCGTGGTATCTGCCCCCACACAATATTGTTGTTGTAGAAAGTTCAGTGAATACTTCTTCAAATATTTTGTTTTCTATTATGATTTTTTTCACAAAAATAGGTATTTAATCAGTCAAATAGCCCTTGTGTATAATACATCACACACATGGTGTATCAGCATTACCAACTCCAAATTTTCAAATAGCCTGACTCAGGCCTCTACTCATGGGATTGGATTAAAAAGTGAGATTTAAATAAATGATGTGTTCTTATTCACCTTCCGGTGTTTGAGCTGCTAGTAACCATGTTAATCAGGGAGGCTGAAGAACCCCCATCGTTAGAGGTTTTTAAAAAATGGTTAGGCAAACACGTCAGGGATGCTCTTATTTAATTCTACCACAGAGTGGAGGGATGAACTAGGTGACGTCTCAAAGTCCCTTCCAGTCTTACATGTCTATCATTCTATGGCTTTGACCTTGTCTCCTCAACCATAACTGTTGGTATCAGACTTTTTTTTTTTTTTTAAAAAGGTTGAGATTCTCTCACAAACAAATTTTTCCAATTGCTGCAGCTTTGAGTGGGGGAAATGAGCGAGAGACTTACACAAAAATTGTGAGAACTGGCAACCCCGCTAGTGTGGTGTTCAGTGATCACTCAGGCTCAGATCCACAATGAGACGTATGTGCCTGAAAGCCCCTCATCCCCCTGGCCATTCTGTGTGGCGTTGGGCCTACTCCGCCTTTGTACTTGCAAGAAATGGCTCAGGTGCCTGAGTGCAGGAGAGGGGATCACAGAGACACACCTCTCTCCAGCCCAAATTGAGGTGCCAAACTCGGAGATGGGGCAGGACTCGGACCACACCCCTCTCCTGGGCATCTGCCATGGGGTGGTTTAGATGGCTCCCATTCTTAGGTGCCTCTCTCTCCCCAGTCATTGAATAGGGAGCCTAACTCAGGCTTTGTGGATCACAGAGCTGTGCCAGTGGTTTTCTGGGTGCCAGAACATTAGCCATTGTGATGCTCAGCATTCTAACACTTGGGTCTATTTGTGGATCCAGGCCTTAGAATCAGAGAATCAGAGAATCAGAGACTATCAGGGTTGGAAGGGACCTCAGGAGGTGTCTAGTCCAATCCCCTGCTCATGGCAGGACCAATTCCCAACTAAATCATCCCAGCCGGGGCTTTGTCAGCCTGACCTTAAAAACCTCTAAGGAAGGAGATTGCACCACCTCCCTAGGGAACCCATTCCAGTGCTTCACCACCCTCGTAGTGAAATAGTGTTTCCTAATATCCAACCTAGACCTCCCCCACTGCAACTTGAGACCATTGCTCCTTGTTCTGTCTTCTGCCACCACTGAGAACAGTCTAGATCCATCCTCTTTGCAACCCCCTTTCAGGTAGTTGAAGGCTGCTATCAAATCCCCCCTCACTCTTCTCTTCTGTAGACTAACTAAGCCCAGTTCCCTCAGCCTCTCCTCATAAGTCATGTGCTCCAGCCCCCTAATCATTTTTGTTGCCCTCCACTGGACTCTTTCCAATTTTTCCACATCCTTCTTGTGGTGTGGGGCCCAAAACTGGACACAGTATTCCAGTTGAGGCCTCACCAATGTTGAATAGAGGGGAACGATCATGTCCCTCGATCTGCTGGCAGTGCCCCTACTTATACAGCCCAAAATGTCGTTAGCCTTCTTGGCAACAAGAGCACCCTGTCGACTCATATCCAGCTTCTCGTCCACTGTGACCCCTAGGTCCTTTTCTGCAGAACTGCTGCCTTAGTGCCTCAGCAGAGCAAGAGGGAGGACGGGAGGAATTACAATGTTCACAGTCTGTTCCTGGGGCAGGACCCTTTGTCAGAGCAAATGATAGAGTTACAATCTCTCCTGAATCCTGTAACTCACCAGTAACACTGATCTATGCAGGGCTCTGTGTTAAGTAAACTGTGAAGCATCAGGTATTCTGAGAGCCAGCCAGGAACTGGGAGAGGGGTATGGAAAGGTGAACAAATTGTACTAGAGGCTCTCTTTGGAGGGGATGGAGGAGGATTTGGGCTAATTTGGATAACAAACGAAGATTGTCCATGTCATTATTAGGGCCAGACCTCAAACAAATTAGTGGCACAATTGACTAACCAATTTCCGTGCACAGCTACTGTGATAGCACATGCATAACTGCGCAGACTGTGTTTATCAGGATAACCACATGTTCATATTAAACGCATAACGCTGCACCATGGTTATAGCCCTGATTCTGCAAAACACTTCAGCACATGCTTAATCATGTGTGTAATCACATCCCTATTCAGCTGAGCCTGGTCCTATATCATTATTATTTTCCCGTCTCCGTTCCTCATCTGCTGCACGTTCAGTGCCCGTCTCTTTCATCATTTCTATGGCGTTCTGTCCTAGTCAGTTCTGTCTTGTGCATTTACCAAGTATCTTTTCTAAAGAGGAAATCTTTTTTCCCCCTCTTATCACATTGTATTCACCTCTTTAGGCCTTTACCTCTTAACTTGAAGAGAAAAGCAGCAACGCCTATCAAAACCAAAGAAATAACCAGGAGCACGTACAGCGCCACCATCCAGGGAGACACCCTTGGGAAAAAAGGATCTGAAAAACAAAACCCCAGAGAGGTGTGGTAGTCTGGGAAAATAAAATACTTGTATCTCAGAAAAATACATCCCAGCAAGATTTATGAGATGAGGGTGTAAATGCTCTTGTTTGAGCAACAAAAAATGCCAGAAACTGATTTTAAACACGGTTTCAGCTACATAATGTTGACAGAGTAGGGAGGGATGAAAGTAGGGTGACCAGATGTCCCGATTTTATAGGGACAGTCCCGATTTTTGGGTCTTTTTCTTACATAAGCTCCTATTACCCCCCACCCCCGTCCTGATTTTTCACATTTGCTGTCTGGTCACCCTAGATGAAAGTGCATCAAACAAAGGGAAGTGAGGATCCCATATTTCTAACGTGGAAACCAGCCAGAAGAAAGAGTGGGGGAGGGGAATATGAAAGTGTCACAAAGCAGAAGTGAAGGGGGTGGGGGTGGGGGTTGTTTGTTTCTCAACATACTTTTAAAATAATCCCTGCATGTGGAGAAAAAAAATCAACACTCACTGAAGTAATAGCTAAACTTAGGCCATGTACAAGTTAATGATCAGAATGCAATGGCGACTGTAATCATGTGAAACACAGAACACACACATAGTAATTTAAAAAAATATTAAAGCCAGCAAAGAAATGAATGGAATAGGAGCTATTTCTGTATCCCTCGGCCAAACCCAGGTTCCAACGCTGAGGAGAGTGGGGGAAGGGGAGCTGTAGCTTCTTTCATTTCTCCATTAAAGTATTGGTTTAATTAACACACATAGGAAGAGAACTGATATTGGGCTTATCAAATTCACCAACCCCCCCCCCCCACAATTTTTTAAACTCAAAGTCAATAAAGTTGAAACATTAAAGTTCACACATATCATTAGACCTGTACAAGTGACAGATTTTTCAGTTTGCTATCAGTTCTGAAAAAATAATAATCTGGGGTCAATCTGAAAATGATTTACAAAAATTCTGATGAGCCAACAAGTAAAAATTCATTTTAATTTTGAATTTTTTTCTTTAAATTGTTGCAACTTTTAAAAATAAAATTGGAGGCAATTCAAAAATGAGTCATTTCAACTTGAAAAATCAAAATATGTTAAAAAATGTCTTTTGGGGGTAATTTTTAGATGAACAGTTGAGTGAAACGGATGGGTTTTTGTTTGGGTTTTTTTTGGTGCTGAATCTGCATTTTTGCTTGGAAAAAAAGTTTCAGACAAAAAAAGGCACCCCAACTCCATGTGTAACTCCAAAAAGTATTAAAGTTAGGGTCAGGTTTCACTTTGGGTTTGGTCCTGCCAGGTATTAAGCAGTACGACACTGAATAGTATGTAAGTCCAACCCCATTGACTTCCTGGACCCATTTAACCTCTTTGTTTTGTATAAAGAATCCAACCTTAATTACAGTCTTAGCAACATGAGCAAATATTGAGGGTTGAAATAAGTGCCCAGGTTAGGTGTTCAGTGTGTTTCATGTCTGTGGGGTGCGCAAGTAGTTGTGAACAGGAATTTGCATAACAACGGGGGGAGATCCATGTGTTGTGTCCAGGGTGTTTATTTATCCGTTGCAGGCAGAAATTCCTTGCAACAGTGTCTGTCACTGTCAATAGAATTATGATCCATGGACATAACTTGTGTTTCTTTCTGTCCCTTCCACCCTCTGTGTATGGGCTGGAGACCTACTCTATCATTGGCAGTCACTCTACCAATTTTGGTCAGAGTTCCTCACCATCCAGATACAGACAACATATTGATATGTAACCAATCCACTCTGCACCAGCTGAATGGGCGGCAGATTTCTGTGCACCTCATTCAGTGAACAAGAGGCAATGGCTGGAAGTTGAAAGTAGACAAATTCAGACTAGAAATGAGGCACACATTTTTAACAGCGAGGATTATTAACCATGGGCACAACTTACCAAGGGTGGAGGGTGGATTCTGTATCACTGGAAATCAAGATTGGATGGCTTTTCCCCCCCTAAAAGATATGCTCTAGTTCAAACAGGAATTAAGTCAGGGAAATCCTGTGGCCTGTGTTACACTGGAGTCAGACTAGATGATCACAAAACTTGGCAATGGGTAGACTGCTAGTGTGCTGAGATGACACCCTATCATGCTAACCAATGGTCTCATTGTTTATTCATGCTCCCATGCCTGTCTATAGCCATCTGTTGTCTAATCAGAGGCCCATTAAGATTTACTAGGGCCCTGGGCACAAAGAGCATTTGAATCCCCCATGCCCAGGGGGCCCAGTGGGGCCATGTCCCCCCACTTTTTCACATGGGCTTAGTAGCCTTGGGCAGGCATGGAGTAGCAGTGGCAGCGGCTGTGCTTCACGGTGGGGGAGATGATCCCACGCTGTGAAGTGCAGCCCCTTCTAGCTGCACCAGCCTCTTCCCAGAGAGGGGGCTGAGGTGAGCCTTAGCGCTTCATTGCCATGGGGACCCGCCCCCTGCTCCTCCTGTCCCCCCTGAGGCCCTGCCCCTGGCCAGGCTGGGCCCTGGTAAGAGCCACCCAGGGAGCCCGGGCCAGGGACATGGGCCAGGAGGTGCTCTCAGGCCCCCCAGCCCCCCTCCCAGGGCAGGTGGAGGGTCCAGGGCTACTCACAGTGGCCCAGGCCCCCCAGGCAGTTCTTACCGTGGCCTGGTTACAGCTTCCAGCCTGGCCAGGGGGCGGAGCTCCAGGGAGAAGATGGGGAGCAGGAGTTACACTGTTCTAGAGCCCCCCAACTTCTATACAGATTCTGGCGCTCCTGTGAGGACCCCAAATTGGCCAGGGCCCCTGGGCACAGGCCCCATGGGCCTGTGTGTTAATCCACCACTGATTGTAAGACCCCTGGGGCGGGGACTTCCTTTTTGTTCTGTGTTTGTACAGCATCTGGCACATGACTAGGACTCCCAGGCTCTATGGTTGTGATAATCATCATCACCTCTGAATCTGTAAAACCAGCTGTGACACAGAAACCCATTGGTGCCCTCTGGCAAAGGATTCGCTACTCTGGGTCAGCAACTGCTGACAGGCCTGAGAAACTCACTACACCTAACACACCACTTTCACAGTATTTATCCATCAAGAAAATGATGTAAGGGACTGCCATGAATATAGGGGGGAAGGTAGTAACCTTTATGTATGCCAGCCCAGTCAGTTAGCTATAAAATCCTTCTTAGTAGCTGTTCTCTACTTGCTTTACCTGTAAAGGATTAAAAGGTCTCAATGGGATGCAGAGGTAAACTTAACCTGAGTTGGCACCTGATCAGGGGAACCAATAGGGAAGCTGCACCCTTTCAAATTGGGAAAAACTGCTGGGTGCAGGGTCTTTGGTCTCTGGGCAGAAGAGAGAAAACAGAGAGCAAATATGCTGTAAGAAACTTGAGCCAGGTCTGAGAAATCATCTGTACCATCCCTAGAAACTATTCATTGGAAACCCCAGATATGTAAGTAGATTAGGAAATGTTAGAAGATGCGATCCGGGATCTTTTTGTTTGTTTTGGTTTGTAGATTCCTCTGTGCTAACCCCAGGTGCTTTCGTTTTGTTTTGCTTGTAACCTTTAAGATGGACCCCAAGAAAGTCATTTTGGGTGTTTAATCCCTAACATCCTCTTTTTTTTTTTCAGATGTGGTTCTCTATTTTGTTCTTATAATAACATTTTCCTTTTTTAAAAAAGAATCCTTTGATTCCAAAGTCCTTAGACAAAGGGTTGGTCTGTGCTCACATTGCTAAGGCAACTGGTCGGTATTTTATTCTCAAGCCTCCCTGGAAAGGGGATGAAGAGGCTTGGGGGGCTATTTTGGGGGGATAGAGATTCCAAGTGACCCTTCCCTGAATATTTTGTGTAAATCACTTGGTGGTGGCAGCGATACCTATCCAAGGCAGAGGACTCTGTGCCTTGGAGTAGTTTTAACCTAAGTTTGTAGAAGATAAGCTTAGAGGTTCGTTCATGCAGCCCCCACCATCTGGACTCGAAGTGCCAGAGTGGGGAATTTTAGCCTTGATAGGGACCTAATAAAAGATTTTGTCATACTGCTCTTCCTAATCTTTGTGAGATGTATGTACAGATGATACTTAAGAAGGTGTGTGTATGTACTGAAAATATGATTTAGAAACTGTGTCCCAGGCAGAGCGGACAGACAGGTTTCTTCCAGACAGGAGATAAGATGTAAATTCAGCATTGTAAGTCAATACAATGGGAGCCTCAGCTGAATACGGAGTAAACAGGAATATTTGAAGAAACCTTGCAGCCAGCAACCAGGTGAGTCATACGGATTCTGAGGACAAAAATGATAGATTCTGGGGTCTAAGAGAAAGACGAGTAAGCCATTTTGTTATTCATCACAGCACTTTTTGCATCCATGAATGGTGGATCCTAGCCATGTGGGTTGGTGATTCTGGGAAAGACTGTTTTAGGCGAGAAACTACAAGGATTTAGACAAGGATTTTAGTCTCTTCAAGTTAAATTTAGCCTCTAATAAGCATGTTATACTTTTGTTTTATGTGTAACCATGTCTGTTTACATTATCTTTACTCTATCTCTTAAAACTTAATCTTTGTCAATAAACTTACGATTGTTTTCACTACAATTATACCGCAGTACACTGCTTTTATAAATGACTTGATCCTGAGTTGTATACTAATCAAGCTGTGTGTATACTGTTCCCTTGGGAACAGTGAACCTGGTAGTTACTGGGAGTGTCCAGTGGACAGGGGCTGGACACTACACGGGGGATGCTTCAGAGGAGCTTGGGGCCTGGGATGCCCCTAGTGTTAACCTGCAAGGCAAAGCCAGGGCTGACAGATTGTTTGGGGGGTGACATGCTGGTGGTGCCAGGGAGCTGACACCAGCTTAGCACTCTCTCACTGAGACAGGAGGTAACATGGTGACTCACAGTCTTGGGAACCCCCAAGAAAGTGTCACGTTACTTATTCACCCCGGACAAGAGAAGATGAAGTGTCAGACATTTAACATTTTCAAAGACATTAAATGAAAAGGATGAGCACTCATGAGACCTTTAACAGTAGCTGTCTTTGGTGCAAATACTTTCATATTATTTATCAGTCATAATTTATTTAACCAATTTTTATTTTATGTACTTATTAATTATTGGTGACGACTGTGTGTTGTTTGGATAGTAACTGACCTGCTATATAAACTGTCGACTCTTTTTCTTGGTTGAGGAGGGCGTTCCTGATATGACAGGACAGGCTCTGGTTAGAAGTCTCTGTTATAATGATAGAACTCTGTGTCTCAAATAGGCCATTAGCCCCTCGGGGTTTTGTTTCTGACAGTGATGTTAAAGGCTCTCCACTGGGATCTCTCCACAGCACCTCAGGCTCTGGGTACCACCCAGCTGATCGACACACCATTCGAATCCCTCCATCCTGATAACCCTCAACAGAGATGAGAGGAGCAGAGCCCAGACCTGAAGGAAAGCGGGATAAACTGCTTAAATTCTTGATGCTAACTTATATGAATATTCAGTATAAAATAGAAATACTTAAATCTCTAATAAAAGGAATGAATGGATTTCTCCTCTGAATTCCTAGTACTCATCATCCAGGAAACTATGGCCCGGCTCCAGCAAAAAACTTAACCACATTCTTAATTTTCTTTTCAAACATATCTTCCAGTGAGATGCCCCTCATTCCCATTTCACCTTCAGTTTGATCTTAAGCCCCATGAAGTTTGAGTTCTGTGAAATCCAGGGGCCACCTCTCTGCCCGTGCTTCTTATCACAACACTTCAGATCCCTTGAACTTCAGTTCTGATGTCTTTGCCTGGGTGATTGAGGAAGGATGTTCTCTGAGAAGGACTCTCAAGTAAGGAACTAACTTAAGAGCGCGTTGAAGTGTTTGGTTTGAAACTTTTTCTGGGGAGGGTGTGGGAGGTCCATGAAAACTGGAAAACTCTGAAGGAAAAATGTCACTTAAAATGAAAACTCTTATTTGTGTAGAAATGTTTCTGGGAGCACAGTCCCATTTCTTAGCCAGCTCTAACTGCCCCCATTTCCTTGGCCTTGTAGACCCTTAATTTGATGAATTTTGGAGAGTGTTGCAAAGCCCATCTATTCTCTCAACATGTTTTTTTATGGGATGTGTTGAATGAGGCTGGGTGGAAGGAAGTGGGAGGGGTTCGATTCATTGTGCTGGGAAGATTTTCTATTGACAATAACTCGACTTGACGATCAAAAAGAGTTTAGGCATCTGCTGACTATTGTGCTGTACTCAGATTACACCCTCCCACCCCACCCCACCCCCAATGCAAAACAAACAAGCAAAACAATGTTGAGAGAAGCAGACTGGAGCAAGATGCCTCCTTTTCATTGAATAATGTATTAGCTGTCTTAGTGTTCAACAGTGGTTGGGATTTGAAAGTGGGTGCATGTGGAAAACACTGAAGTAAATCTAATGGGCCAGATGAAGGATCTGAAGGGAGAAGGAATTATTGTGTATGCACCTCCAACAAGGGGGATGGGGGTGGATCCATCTGTTTCGATATGGTTTGGTTCCTTTCCTGTCTCTGGGATTCCTACTATGGGACCAACAGCAGCTTTATCATATATGACTACATGGCCACCTGGGAAGTTGTAACCTTTTAACTCTCAAGAGGTCTGGGGTGAGGAGAGGGGGGGACAACCTGAAATGCAGAGAGACACGTGTTGAAGATGTCAAACAATTTTTCAGGGCTGCTGGGAGTCTAAATAATATTGTAATGATAATATACAAATGGGGGGGGGGGAGGGAAATGTTGTATCAAAAGGAAACACCAGCCCAAGCTACTGACCTGCTACTTTCAGTTCCAACAGGGATTCTTCATGAAAAACACTTGATCGAAAAAAGCACCTGTACTGTCCTTCATCAGAGGGTCTGACATGGCGTATTCTCAAGGCAACGCTTCCATTGGCAATGTCATCTCTCAGAAATTCTGTCCTTCCATGATATTCTGGCATCTGCCTTTCATTCTGATTGTCCCCATCACGATAAAGGTGCACAAGTGAATAGAACTGGGACCGGTACCATCTCACCTCCATGTTCTCAGCGCTTACCCTGGGGCTGAGATGACAGGGTAACACAATGTCCTCACCTGCAGTGGCCATGACAGGGTGGTCAGGTCCAATCACTTTAAATTGAGCTGTGAAATGTAGCAAAGAGACAAAGAAAATAAATATTTAAAAAATGAACTTTTGATTAAAATGTAATCATTACAAGCGATGTGTTATAGTTCATTACAGCTGGTCTAATACTACTCACCTCAGCTATGATGAGGAAATAATACATTGTTTTGCTAACATTAAAATAAATTCTTAAAACTGTTGCAAGCCATAGACAATCCAGGACCCCCATATTTGGAGCAGAGACACGAAATTTGGCAGGCAGATAGCTCTGGGAATCAGAGAGGTGACTCTTCTTGTCCCTATGAAAATCCACCCATGTTTGGCCAAGTTATCCTTCTCTGAAAACCACCATTTGTGCATGTGCAATCGAGATGATTTGTTTATTTCTCGTTTGGGTCTGTGCGTCTGTATGTGGGGGGGAGGTTGACTGTTAGGATCTCCAAAAATTCCATCTTCTTTGAGCATGCTCCAACCTCACTGTCTTTTCACTGCACGGACTGTGCTCTGACATCAAGGCCCTTCCATCTACACTGAAAGTGATCCCAGGCTCCACTGTGTGGTATTGGACATGACTGTATCAAGATGCACATGCACAAGGGGTCTGAATTCTAGCATTTCCTAACTTTGGAGTGCTTGACTTTACAACCTTAACATTCTTTTCAGGTAATTTTGTGTATGCAATTGTAGGGGGAGCGGGCAGTGACTGCTCTATTTTGGTTGCTTAATACACTTTGTTCTTCATTTTCTGGATGTCAAACTTCAGAAGTGCTGCGCATTCAGAGCTTCAATGGAAGTGTCTACTCAGCCATTACAGTAGTAAGGAGTTTAGGCATTAAAAGATGCTGAGTTTCAATCCTGTCTCAGATTGTGAGTCACTGTGGGGTGTTGGACTTTACTTTTCAGTTTCCCCATCTGAAAAATACCTACCCAACTACTTCCCTTGAGTATTACAGAGATTAATTAGCTGTCCATAGAGTGCTCAGAACATATAAAAACGTGACCTACTCTGAAAGAAATGACACCTCAGCTGTCTCACATTGGGGCCTACATTTAATGGTGACCTTTGCAAATTTTGTCCTTAATCACTCCGTGCCTCACTTTCCCACCCCCAAAATAGTAATAAAGAATAACACAGAACACTCCCGTTTACTCAAATGGCCCGAGGGACAGCTGAAACTTTTGAATGAGCAGGTGTTCAGAGAAAGGGAAGTGCTATTTTGAACTGTGCTGTTGGGCTCCCTGAAGAGAGAGGAGACCTGGCTAGAGATGCCACTGCAGATAGAACTCGTGTAGCGCGACTGAGACTCACTGCTGTAAATTGCTCTCCTTGTTATCTGAACCCCCAGTGTTTACAGAGGGGGACACACTGTGGATTTTCAGATAAAGGGAATTCAGATAAAGGGCAGCGTCCTCTACTCTGCTATCTCACACTGGAAATGAGAAGATCAAACATTCATGTTTGTGAGGCACTCAGGATACTTCAGTGATGAATGCCCTAGAAAAGTCCACAAGGTCATTCATTTCTTATTCAGTGCAATGAGGCACAGCTCCCTCATTCCCTGAGCACCATCCATCCTGTCCCCTGAATACATGAGGAAGGGGACTGATGGGAAATTAGTATGTGACTGTGTATATACAAGGGAGCTGAATTAATGTTGCACCTGCAATCTTAAATCTGGCATTTCCTAACTTTGGAGTGTTAGACTTTGCACCCTAAATATATATTACACCCCCCCAAACAAAACAAAACAAAACAAAACAAAAAACCCTCCTTTTAACAGAACAATAACATTGCAACCCTTACTTCAAAGTGCCAATGACAGAGCTCTCCACTTTTCCCCAGATGTATCTATCTGAGGATTTATACTGGCACTGATACCACAGCCTCTGTGCACTTTCAGCTGATCATTGATGTGGGGTAACATGCTCCTTTTCACCATAATGCTGGCAGTCTCAGTATCCCTACATGCTGAACCTATCTTGCCTTCCTCCTCACCCCTGCCCAAAATCCCATCGATCAATGTCGTATTTCAGGCATCCCCTTAGGAACAGAGAAAATGTCTGCATTATTCCATCCTGCTTTAAATCTTGACAAACTCATATCTTTTGTACAGAAATTTGGTAAATCAGGAACAGAGCTGTCAGGATTTGTGGGGTGGGGAAGAGTAACTATTTGTGTAACATTGTTTAACACGCTTGCTAAGAAACCTCAATGCCAGAGGTATGTGGACAGGCTCCAGTGCCTTTAGCTAATGGTTCCAAGGCCATATTGAATAGAAGAGGCGGCTGCTTGACACACGCCTCGATTCAGAGCGAATGGCTCGGAGATCAGCCTATTGGTAACATTCAGGGCTATAGATTAGGGGATATGTATAGCCATAGCCAGTGGTGAGCTGGAGCCGGTTCCCACCAGTTCTCGGGAACTGGTTATTAAATTTAGAAGCCCTTTTAGAACCGGTTGTCCCGGTTCTAAAAGGGCTTTTAAATTTAACAAAATCTCTGGCAGCTCCCTGACCTGCCTCCGGCCCCAGCTCACCTAGCTCCACCTCCTCCCCTCCCCTGCTTCCCACGAGAAGCAGGGCTTCCTGCAGGTGAGCTGGGGCGGGGCGCGAGGAGGGATCCAGGCGCCGAGCGGCCCAGCCCGGCTCCGGCCCCAACTCCGACTCTGACTCTGGCCATGCGGCGCTGCCCGGCTCCGGCCGAGCCCCGACCCCGGGCCCCGAGCCCAACTCCGGCCGCGCGGCGCTGTCCGACCTGGGCCCCGGCTGCGCGGCTCCAGGCCGGGCCCCGACTCCGGCCGCGTGGCGCGACTCCGGCCTGGCCCCGGCGGGGGTAAGAGGCCGGGGCCGGGGGGGATTGGATAAGGTGGGGACAGAGAGGGGGGTTGGATGGGGCAGAGGTTCTTGGGGGGTGGTCAGGGGATGGGGAAGGGGGGGTTGGGTAGGCGCCGCGTGGGAGTTCTAGGGGTCTGTCGGGGTGGTGGTGGATGGGGTCGGGGCAGTCAGGGGCCAGGGAGCAGGGCGAATTGTGCAGGGGGTGGAGTCCTGGGGGGCAGTTAGGGTTGGGGGTCTCGGGAAGGAGTGGTCAGGGGACAAGGAGCGGGGGGGGGTTATGGGTTGCGGTTTCTGAGGGGGGCAGTCGGGGCAGGACATGGGTGGGGGGTGTACTCACCGGGCGGTTCCCTACCGGGTCTTCGGTGGCCAGATGCCAGAGCCGTGCCGCCGAAGACCTGGTAGGGAACCGGTTCCTAAGATTTTGGCAGCTCATCACTGGCCATAGCGTGACGGGTTGGATCGGGTTGTAGCCCACGAAAGCTTATGCTCTAATAAATTTGTTAGTCTCTAAGGTGCCACAAGTACTCCTGTTATTTTTGCAGAAACCCCCTTGGGAGCTGCCACCTGATGTACCAAGACTACTTCTGCTCCTGCTTTCCTGCCCTGGCAGACCAGGACTCCAGTGCCCTGCCTGGTTTGAGTCAGACCCGCTAGCCTGCTGCAAACCCAGACCCAGGTCTGAATTGCATCCCCAAACAGCTGCAGGCTTACCTGAAAGCAGCTTACAGAAGTGTTCTTGTCTTTAACACTCAGATGTCCAACTCCCAGTGGGATCTAAACCCAAATAAATCCGTTTTACCCTGTATAAAGCTTATGCAGGGTAAACTCATAAACTGTTTGCCCTCTGTAACACTGATAGAGAGATATGCACAGTTGTTTGTGTGTCCCCCCCCCCGGTATTAATACATACTCTGGGTTAATTAATAAGTAAAAAGTGATTTTATTAAATATGGAAAGTAGGATTTAAGTGGTTCCAAGTAGTGACAGACAGAACAAAGTAAGTTACCAAGCAAAATAAAATAAAACACGCAAATCTATGTCTAATCAAACTGAATACAGATAATCTCACCCTCAGAGATGCTGCAGTAAGTTTTTTCCTCAGACTGGACACCTTCCAGGCCTGGGCACAATTCTTTCCCCTGGTACAGCTCTTGTTCCAGCTCAGGTGGTAACTAGGGGATTCTTCATGATGGCTCTCTCCTCCCTTTGTTCTGTCCCACCCCTTTATATATCTTTTGCATAAGACGGGAATCCTTTGTCCCTCTCTGGGATCCCACCCCTCCTTCTCAATGGAAAGACTCCAGGTTAAAGATGGATTCCAGTACCAGGTGACATGATCACATGTCACTGTAAGACCCCAAACCCTCATTCCTCCCAGCCTGACTCACAGCCCAGACCTAACTATTCCCCTCGATTTTGGGAAAGGACAAACTAAATCAAGAATGACTGAGTTTAGATGGCGTGGGAAGATTTCTTTTCCAAATACTAGAGCAGTTTGCAGTTATAGTTTGTGTTTGGTTATGTATAAATTTAATTGTATATGTTCCTAAAGGTTGGAATTGACACATATCCATATGCTAAAGATATTATATCTAATCTATCTATCTATCTATCTATCAAAAGAGCAGAAAGCACACTGAAGCCGTGGGAATTTCTTACCTGAGTCCACTTTGTGAAGGGACAGAATAATGAAGAACATGATGTAGCCAGGCAGAGAGGAGCTTCTTACAGGGCCATGAGGGAAGGAGGAAACCTTCATTTTCCTTATAACTATATCAGGACAGCAAGAGAGTAAAATGAGCATAATGGAGAGATTGTGACGAGAAAAACTAGAGAGTGGAGTATGAAGAATAGATGAATACTTTAGGCAAAAATTCTGTACTTTTTCATGATCTTTTGCTATTTTTTGACCAGCTTACAAGAGCTAATCATTTTTTTCCCAATGAAATCTCAGCAAAAAGTGTATTGACCAACTCTAAAAGGACATGGCCTCTTAAAGAGTACAACAGTAAGGCTGGGTCTACACTACAGCGGGGGTCCGACCTAAGATACGCAACTTCAGCTACGTGAATACCGTAGCTGAAGTTGCGTATTTTAGGTCGGCTTACCTGGCGGTGAGGACGCGGGAAAGTCGACCGCTGCCGCGCTGCCGCCGACTCCGCTGCCGCCTCTTGCCGAGGTGGATTTCCGGAGTCGACGGCAGAGCGATCAGGGATCGATTTTACCGCGTCTTCACTAGACGCGGTAAGTCGATCCCCGATAGACCGATTGCTACCCGCCGGATCGGCGGGTAGTGAAGACATGCCCTAAGTAACTGTGATTTGATCACCATTGTAAGATTTTACAAAAAAGCTGTCTATAAACTGACAATCTTATTGCCTCACCTCTTCTTTAAAGCTGTGTAAATAACTGATTCTTCAGTTTGGTGGTAGTTCCAGTAATATTTATTTTATTTTTTTAAAGTTAAAAAAATTCAGGTTGACTCAAAATCTTTTTTTTTAAATAAATTTCAGCAAATCAAGAAGTAAATCTGTATAACATTTCACATTTCATTTGATCCAGAATCAGACAATAGAATCATAGAAATGTAGGGCTAGATGGCCCCCCAGAAAGCCAAGCGTTCATCATCCCAGGCTGAGACAGGATTAAGTATACTTGAAATGAAACATTTAATTTCCTTTGTTTTTTAAAGCTTTGTAATTTAAAAAAATAAAATAAAATTGAAGTAAAATTCTAAATGAAGTCATTTCAAATACAAAATTGAAGCATTTAATTTCAAAAATACTGAAATGAAACTTTTCATTTTTTCTGATTTTTTTTTCATTTTGTTTTTCTTTTTACCAAAACAATTCAGTGAAATCAACACAAAGTAACTCTGAGCGCTTCCCATCGAGTGTCCCATCACCAGCCAGTTGCAGTTCACTACATGCCATTGTGGGCAGTCGCATCATACCATCCTCACCATAAATTGAGCAAGCTCAGTCTTGGAGTCAGTTAGGTTTTTTGCCCTCACTACTCCCTTTGGAAGACTGCTCCAGAACTTCACTCCTCTGATGGTTAGAAACGTTCCTCTTATTTTAAACCTAAACTTGTTGATGGTCAATTTACATCCATTTGTTCTTGTGTCCACACTGGCACTTAACTTAAATGACTCCTCTCCCTTCCTGGTATTTATCCCTCTGGTGTATTTAGGGTGACCAGACGTCCCAATATTATCGGGACAGTCCCGATTTTAGGGGACTTGTCCCGCGTCCCAACCTTACATTGGTCGGGACGTCTGGTCACCCTATATGAGGGGGACAGCGGCAAGCCGGCGCCACCGGCACCACTCATCTTTCCTCCCTAGGCCCTGGGGCAGCGCGCAGCTGAGCTCCTGGCAGGGCGGCGCCAGCCCACGGGGCCCCCCGCCCGGCCGGCAGGAGCCTACAGAGCGCAGCCCTGCCCCTGCCCCCGGCACACAGAGAGGCAGCGAGGAGGTCTCGCTCCCCTGCGTGCTGCAGCGGGGCAGGGCTTGTAGACTCGGGCAGAGAGACCCCCCGCCCCTGCCCCCCTCCCCTCCACCCGACCCAACCGTAGGAAGGAGCCAGAGGGACTGGGAGGGACCTGCCTGCTGGATGCTTCCTGGGAGCCGCTCCAGGTAAGCACTGCTGGGTTCACCTGGCCCCCTGGCAGGTCCCTCTGGGGGGGCTCCCCTCAGCCCCACTGCCCTCAGCCCCCACCCTGACCCTGTTCCCTCAGCCTCCCCCGCAGTCCCTCCTGTGCCCCC